ACGAATTGTTTTGGATTCTACGCACCAAAATTAATAAGAAAAAGTGTTTTCCCGAGAAATTTTGGTGCCGTCGATTTTTGGTAAAAAAAGGGCTTTAATTCGTTTTTAAAAGCCTTGGAGTTCTGTAAACTGTTTAAGGTTTCAAGTGTCTTCAGGAGTTTCCAATAGCCTTCATCAATTTTTTTTATTATCATTGTTAGATTTTAAAGGCTTTCAAGGTTTCAAAATGTCGGTTTCTGTCGTGAGGTCTTTGAGGACTTTAAAAGTCAAAAATTTACCATTTGTTATGAGACCTGTGGTTAAATAAATAAAGAAGTCTTGCACGAATTGAAGGGTAAACAATTGTAATTAATGATAAAAAGAAACGTAATTTAACATGTGAGAGTTTCCACCCTGTATATACACTTAGGACGATGCACACAATTTTGAGAGTTGGCAACCGCACAACTTTTAGGAGGGGAAATAGCTGTCTGCGTCATCTGGAGAGCACGAACGTTGGTTACGTTTGGCATTTTGTTTTTAACCGCGGTCGCGAACGCTTCGCTCCGTAAGTGCTTGTTGTTTTTTTTGTGTTATTTAATGCAGGTAGTAATCTTTGAATTTCTTTATAATGTATTTGTGTTTTGTATGCAGCATTTTATATTTTGTGTGTGTTTCAATGTCTCTTTTTTTGAAATTGACTTGATTTAACCGTAATGCAGAATTAACCTTTTGTTTGAAATCCTTTACGTTTTTGGTTTGCTTATTAATTTATGTTTTGATTACATAGTCTTGACAAGAACTAATATTCATATAGACTTTGCTCATTCTTGCAATATGTGAGAATTACCGATTCGTTTGATGTATGTACCGACTTGTTTGTAACTAACATTTTTGCCTTAAATGAAGCAGTCACGGGGGTAGCAAAAAACTGTAATCAAATGAGAATTCCGTGATTGTTTACGACATTCAACTGTATAGGCTTGAAACCCCTAAACTAGGGGCGAGTTACATATCTTGGGGACAAGATTATGTAACTTCGCTTTAGAATCTATGAGTTGCGATTTACTGATTTCTGCATGTTTTGTGGTAACATTGAATTTCCCTACAAGGCCATGTAATTTTCCACCTTGCTGTTAACACAAGGATTTTATTGCACCAAAGATGAGTCACATTTTGTGTATTTCACCCTTTCTTAGAATCTTGGTACCTGCTTACCTTACCCATTGTTCCCAAAACTTGTTTTGTACTCTCTTGAAGCCTACAAGTAAAGTATTTGATCTTCATTAACAATCGGCTCTTCGTTGGACACCCTGTATAGTAAAATATTGGTATGAAACGTGACAACAGCGCATTCATTCATTACGTCATAGCAAAACATGAATCACATTTAAAAATCATAACAAATAAAATCTTATGGAACGCAGTCAGCTGATAACAGATAATTCCGTGTTGACTAATTTTCCATACAATTATTTATTACTTATCGCTTATTACGTACTAAAATTACACCCCTTTAAAACGTTTTTGTAACCTCAATTACATTAAAGCTTTCACTTCGTACACAAAAGAATTTTATTCTTTTCCATTGATCTTTTCAGTTATGATTCACAGCTGAACAGTCCATAAGTATTTAATAAAAAATGGTTTTACCGCACGAACCCTCCATCAACGTCTTGGAAAGTGACAGTGAGAGCGAAGAGGATAGTGTCGTGGAAGAGGACGAAGATGACCTCACCAAAATCATACCGCCGCAAAGTAAGAGCCGGAAACTTCGGCCCGTGTTATTAATTGTCGTTGTTTTAGTCGAGGACACCAAACGAATCTTAAAGGCCAGACACGTCCTCGGCATTCTCGGCTTTTTAGGTTTCGCGAACGTGTACGCGATGCGGGTGAACCTATCCGTGGCTATTGTGGCGATGGTAAATCACACGGCGATGGTCACCAACGTTACCAACAACACTTTCGATAACTGTCCCATTCCACCCAGTACGAACACGACTATAAAACCTCAGGTGAGACAAGATTGCGGTGTATGGGGCCTGGTATAGGCAAACGTGTACGTCAGGAACAGCTTTAATAAAACCTAAACGCTTTCTCGAGCCTCTCGAGCACATTGGGCTGTCCTCCAGAGCTTTCTTGCTCCAGTCCAGAGTTCTAGAAGGCAGAGAAAAGTGCTAGACAGCTTTTTAGGCTGCTCTGGGTGATTTTCAGAGCAACCCTCAAATTTGTAGCAGAAGAATCCTATCGTATACCATATGTGTCTCTTGTAAAAGACAATTTGGCACATTTTAAAAACTTTCAGGAAGAGTGCTATGGGCCTTTTCGTTCAAAAGGGCCTGTTGTATACAGGGTGTCCAACGTAGACTGTTAAGGGAAAACCAATGCGAATAAGTGTACATAGATGTAGGTTACTCATGAAATTTCCTGCTGTTTATTGATCCTCCTAAATGTAATCATTTTTATGAAGTCGTTTTAGAAATTAAATATACAGGGTGTACATTCCACACAAGCACTGTATATGATAACATTGAAATCCGTTGATCTGTCCCTGTTCGAATTAAAATTCAGAATTTGTGACATATAAGTTTAATACTCGGTTTAATATGAATTTGGTGATGAACAAATCCAAATTTCTGAAATGGATATTATGACTGTATTTTGGTTTTTGACACAACAGCAATTGATTTTTGATAGTTAATAAAAGCCAGCCAATAATTAAAAATTAAGCAACTGTGTCAAATCATTGANAATGTACCAAGTTTGGTATAAATTTCTAAGCACCCTGTATAAATATTTGAACGTTTGTCACTTTAGATAAGGGATATGTCTTATTTAAGCAAACCCCGAGGGTATGGAATTTTGGTGTACACTTCTAGCTTTTTGACGAATTTTTTTGAATTTTTCTAAAATTTTTTAGAACTTTTTTGAATGTCTAATAATTTTTTGAATTTATTTGCTGATTTGCGAATTTTGCAATTTTTTAATGGGTAAAATACATTACCAGAGTTGCAAGTAAGTAGCAAATTACATACCATCGGAAAGAATTGCACGCTAGTAGAATACCTTGACGTATATTTTAACACCATACGCTAGTAGAATTTTTTTGAATTCTTCTAGAATTTTTTAGAATTTATTGCAATTTTCTGGGACCTTTTAGAATTTGCAAGAATTTTTTTGAATTTATTTACGTACTGATTTTAAAATTTTGCAATTTTTTTAATAGGTGAAATACATTACAAGAGTGGTAAGTAAGTAACAAATTACTTACATACACGCGGAAAAAGTTGCATACATTGACGTAGCAACATACGCTAGAATTTTTTGAACATCCTAGAATTTTCTGGAATTTTTCTGAATTTTTAAGAATTTTTTTGCTGATTTGCGAATTTTGCAATTTTTTAATCCGTAAAATACAATAAGTACAAGGGTTGTAAGTAAGTAGCAAATTACATACCATCGGAAAAAAGTGGCTAGTCGCATAAATTGACGTATATTTTAATAACATACGCTAGTACTATTTTTTTGAATTCTAGAATTTTTTAGCATTTACTTACGGATTTTAAAATTTTGCAATTTTTTAATAGGTGAAATACATTAAAAGAGTTGTAAGTAAGTAGTAAATTACATACGAGCGAAAAAAGTTGCATACTTTGACGTATATTTCAACAACATACGCTAGAATTTTTTTGAATTCTAGAATTTTTTAGAACATCCTAGAATTTTTTAGAACTTTTTTGAATTTCTAAGAATTTATTTACTGATTTGGGAATTTTATATTTTTAGAATTTTTTTAGAACTTTAGTATACACAAAATTTGAAGTGTGATTTCTGTAAATCCTAGAAACACAATTTTGAAGTCAGAATTCTGAGCGGAATTCGAAATTGTGAATTTAAAATTCGAACTTAAAACTCTGAGTGCAAGGTAAAATTTACGATTAAACGATGAAATTTAAAAAAAATGCAGAGTCCCATATGTGTTAATTTTGTACATGTAACCTTTGAGTAATTAAATCACTCAACGATGTAATATTAATCGAAATGCTGTAACGTAAATTTAATTGCGTGATTTATTTATTTACAATTAACGAATAATGAATTTAAACAATTCTTAAATGGATCGACTTGTACACAATTTATCACATACGAGCGCGAACTTCATTAATAATAATTTCGGCATTGATGTTGGAACTTCATTAAACACGATTCAATTTGATTGTATAGCAAATCGAACGGTTGCGAAGTCGCCACATAAGATTTTTCGAGAAGAAAGCGTCACATCCGCTTTCCTTATTTATCGCCGATGACTAATCTTCGTTGGCGGCTGCTGGCGCCTCGACGTCTGGGATACTTTGTACTTGACAATGACATTCAGCTTAATTTCAATACATTCGAAATAGTCTAAAACGTCAAGTAATGCCTGTATGTAAATTTGATTTAACTCAAGCACCACCAGAAGATTCGGAAAAAATTCGGCGGTTTCGGAACGGCGGAAAGGAACATCAGGTTTTCCAGCTCCCTGACGAAATCGTAAGAAAGCATTCAAAAATTAAAATTTCTTTCGCGGTTTCCGGTCAACATCAAAATCCGGAACCAGTCTCAAAATTCACACCAATTAA